CAAGGCTAGTGATCTACCACTAGAGCCACAGTGTCACTTCCAGCTTTTTCTGCTTATGTGGTGCTGAGGAATCAAACCCAGGGCCTCATGCATGTGAGGCAAGCACTCTACCACTGAGCCACCTTCCCAGCCCCCCAAATGTTAGTTTTTAAAGCTGAGAATATGACTGCCCATACTATGTAATCTTGACAGAGGCAGGTGATGGCTAAATCTTTGCCTTCAAAAGTTAAAGGCTGGGGATGGGAAGGTGGCTCAGTGGTAGAACACTTGCCTCACATGTATGAGGCCCTGAGTTCGATTCCTCAGCACCACATAAACAAAAAAAGCCAGAAGTGGCACTGTGGCTCAAGTGGTAGAGTGCTAGCCTTGAGCTGAAGAGCTGAGGGACAGTGCCCAGTCGTAGAGTTCAAGCCTATGACACCTCCTCCCGCCTCCCCCCCATCCCAAACACACACACAAAAGTTAAAGGCTTCTTTTCAAGATCCTTTACTAGCAAAACTGGAGGTGAAGCTTCATTTGGAGTCTAAAGTGGAACGTTGGGTTGCCCCGCCTCCCACCCAGATAAGCACAGACCTCAGGTTTTCCAAAGGCCAAGAGTCCTCTAGCCCTTGTCCTCACCTCTAACTGAGCCCAGAACAGAGACATCTAAAAGCACAAGAAAACAAAGCTTAAGCTCTGATCCCAACTCTATCCCCAAAATGTCAGAAGACCACCTCTTAGGGAAAGATCCCTGCCTCCTTAGTTTTCCTCAAATGTACATGGACTGCAGGAGGCCCGACTCTACCTGTGTATGGGTTAGAACCCCTATGCTTATACCTTGTCCTGTATCTGAGGTGCTGTGACCATACACTATCCTGACAGTTGTTTCTCTTAGCTTTGTACTAAATGCTGTATACTCAGAAAAAAAAAAGTTAAAAGGCACTGGTGCCTCATCTTTTCGTGGTGTTTAGGATTTAACTTACAGTCTCACACTTAACTAGGCAAACTCTCTACCACTGAGCAATACACCCAGTTTATGTCGTACTGAGAATTCAAACTCAGGACTTCATGTCTACAGAGATACATGAACTAAAAGAAAAAAGCTCTGCCGGCTTATTAAATCAAACTTGATAAAAATGATCAAAACTAATAGTTTTGTTTTAATCAGTATACTTTGAATCCACAAACACTCAATCCAAAAGGAAGTATGTAATACTCTGATGACACTTTTTTTTTAATGGTTTAATTTTATAGGCATTTTTGTGGCAGGGAAGCAGAATGAAAAATCAAAGGCATTTAAGCATAAAATCTTTTTTTTTTGGGGTCCAGTCGTGGGGCCTGAACTCTTGGCCTGGGGGCTGTCCCCCAGCTCTTCAGCTCAAGGCTAGCACTCTACCACTTGAGCCACAGCGCCACTTCCGGCTTTTTTTTTCTGCTTATGTGGTGCTGAGGAATCGAACCCAGGGCCTTAAGCATGCAAGGCGAGCGCTCTACCACTGAGCCAACTTCCCAGCCCCAGCATAAAATCTTATAGTAGGAAAAAACTTTCTTCAAGGAAACAGAGTAGAAATGGGAGTTTAAGGAAGAAAAAGGACTGACCATGGTCATGCATGTCTCTAATCCCACCATTGGGGAGGCTATGGCAAAGCTATTATATTGAGACTGTTGAAAGAAAGAAAGAAAGAGAGAGAGAGAAAGGAAGGAAGCAAGGAAGAAAGAAGGAAAGAAAGAAGGAAAGAAAGAAGGAAGGAAAAAGGGAGGATGTGAGATTTCCACTGTCAAGTTAAAAACTGCTTCATGGGCTGGGAAGGTGGCTCAGTGGTAGAGCGCTTGCCTTGCATGCATGAGGCCCTGGGTTCGATTCCTCAGCACCACATAAGCAGAAAGAAAAAAGCCGGAAGTGGTGCTGTGACTCAAGTGGTAGAGCTCTAGCCTTGAGCTGAAGAGCTGAGGGACAGCGCCCAGGCCCAGAGTTCAGGCCCCACGACCAGACCCAAAAAAAAAAACAAAAAAAACTGGTTCATTTTTCTTTTCAAAGTCTTAAGGAAGCTGGGCACCAGTGGCTTATGCCTGTAAGCCTAGCTACTCAGGAGGCTAAGATCTAAGGATCATGCTTTGAAGCCAGCTAGGGCAAGAAAAGTCTTAAGATTCTTTCTTTTTGTCAGTCGTGGGGCTTGAACTCTTGGCCTGAGCACTGACTCTCAGGCTCTTCAGCTCAAGGCTAGGGCTCTACCACTTGAGCTACAGCGCCACTTCCGGTTTTCTGGTGGTTTATTGGAGATGAGAGTTTCATGGACTTTCTTGCCCGGGCTGGCTTTGAACCTTGATCCTTAGATCTCAGCCTCCTGAGTAGCTAGGATTACAGGCGTGAGCCACCAGTGCCCAGCCAAGTCTCTAAGATTCTTATGTCCAATGAACAAACAGAAAATGGGAAGTGGTATTGTGGCTCAAAGTGGTAGAGTGCTAGCTTTGAGTAAAAAAGCTCAGGGACAACGCCTGGCCCCTGAGTTCAAGTCCCACAACTGATAAAAAAAAAAGTCAATATTTAAAATGAACTGGAAGTGGTGGGGGGGGTGGGAGGTGGGAATCGATGGGAAGGGGAAACAAAGGAGGCAACAATGCTTGATAAGTAATGTACTCATTACCTTGCTCATGTAATTTTAACCCCTCTGTATGGTATTTTCACAATAAAAAAAGTAAGATGAACTGGAAATCATACACATTACAAATATTGAAAGTTTCAGAAAAAATTTTAGCTGTCAATCAAAAAAAATGTACTGGCTGCATGCACTGTCCTTTTTTGTTTTGTTTTTGCCAGTTATGGGGCCTGAATTCTGGGCCTGGTCATTGCCCCTGAGCTCTTCAGCTCAAAGTGAGCACTCTACCACTTGAGCCACAGTGCTATTTCTAGGTTTTTCTGCTTATGTGGTGCTGAGGAATCGAACCCAGGGCCTCATGCATGCAAAGCAAGCACTCTACCATTGAGCCATCTTCCTAGCTGTACTGGCTGACGATTTCAAAACAAAGCTAAATCACTGTTTAACTGCCCTTACCTATCAGCCCTAATCTTTTCTTCTTATAGTATAAGCCCCAAGAGAGGCCCTGAAACCCTTTAAAGTAGCTCAGTTAAAAGTACTTGCCTACCAAGTATACTATCTTGAGTTGGATCCCCAGCATCAAAAATGGAAAGGAAAAAAAAAAAAATGGGGCTGATTGGAATGTGCCTTAATGGTAGAATCCTTGCCTAGGATGCATGATTCTTCAGTACCACATAAACAGAAAATGCCGGAAGTGGCGCTGTGGCTCAAGTGGTAGAATGCTAGTCTTGCTCAAAAGAAGCTCAGGGAGTGACCAGGTTCTGAGTTTAAGCCCTGGGACTGGGAGAAAAAAACAAAAACAAAAAACAAAAAACCATAAAACACAAAAGGATGGACTAGGGGAATAAATGGCTCAATTGGTTGAGTGCCTGCCTCCTCTGGAGACTAGAGGTCATACACACAACCAAATACATATATGTACACAACGTAGAATATAAATGCATACACACATATATTTGTGATACTAGGGTTTGAACATAGCCTTCAGTGTTTTAGGCCGGTGTCCTACCACTTAAAATTGAGTTCTTAGTTATATATTTTTTATGTTTTAGTTCTCTGGGTATGTGATTCACAACTGTAATCTCCGCTACTCAGGAGGCTGGAATCATAAGGACCAAGGCCAGCCTGGGTAGTAAGTTATCTAGACCCTATGTCTGGTAGCCTGTGATGTCAGTTAAGAGAGGAAGTAAATGGCAGTCCTAGACTAGCCAAGAGGAAAATAAAAAATAACTAGCTGGGCACCAGAGGCTCATGCTAATAATCCTAGCTACTCAGGAAGCTAAGATCTGAGGATCGCAGTTCAAAGCCAGCCTGGGCAGGAAAAGTCCATGAGATCTGTTTTCTTTTTTGCCAATCCTGGGGCTTGAACTCAAGGCCTGGACACTGTCCCTGAACTGCTTTTGCTCAAGACTAGCACTCTATCACTTGAGCCACAAAGCCACTTGCGGCTTTTTCTGTTTATGTGGTACTGACTGAGGAATCAATCCCAGGGCTTCATGCATGCTAGGCAAGCACTCTACCAATAAGTCACCAGACCAGTCCATGAGATTCTTATTTCCAAGTAAACACCAAAAACCTGGAAGTAAAGGTGTGGCTCAAGTGGTAGAATGACTGTAGTGAGAGGCCCTGAGTTCAAACACTAGTACTGCCCCCCATTTTTTTTTCTTAATTTTTTTGGTTTCTTGAAATAGGCTCTTGCCATGTAGTCCAACATGACCTAAAACTTTCTAACCTCCTGTGAGGCCCTCTTTACTAGTGGATGACTGGGAAATCCATGCCACCCCCCAGGCCTAAACTAACCCAAACTAGCCTCCCCAGGGAAAAGGAGGGCAGAAGAAACAAGATCTCAAAAGGCCTATTCAGCAAAACAGCAGTTAACAGGCAAGGCACTTGACATGCACACTATGAGGTAGGGTAGGTATCATCCCTATTTTTCATGAGCAAACGGAGGGCAAGGAGTTGAAGGTCACACAAATAGACGTAGCAGAAGTTCAATTTTAAAAAAGAAAGAAAAAAATCAAACCTAAGTCTGACCATACAATTCTAACGCCAAATGGCTTTGGCCTGAAACTGTTTGAATGCAAAACTGCTCTTTCAATAGGTACACTTTTTTCCTTTTCTCCTTTTCCACATCTGTACAACTGAAATTAACAGCTTGCCTCACGGGTTGCTGACAAGACGAGGATATAAAAGGCGATGGCTTGCCCCATTGGTGCGCACTCAATAGAAATAACTAAAGTAGAAAGCCGCGCTCCCAACGCCCCACCAAGAGCCCGGGTTGCCGTCCCGCGCGCCCCGAGTCCGGACCTCCAGCCTTGCCCAGCGCGGAGACCACGGAATGGGACAAAGCGTGTCCCCGCCGCGTGGCTCGAGTCTCCGGGGTCCGCTCGCCCCCACCGCCACTGCCAACCCGGCGCTACGTACCGGGACTCGGACGAGCGCACGCAGCGGGGGATTCACCCAATCTCCGCAGCGCTCGCAAGCTGGCTCCCCCGAAGGTGGGCGGGGCCCTGGCACGAGCACGCGAGCCGGACATCCGGTCCGCAGAAGGGGCGGGGCCGAGAGCTAGGGGTGGGGTGGGCGTGGCCAGGTCGAGCTTCAGAAGAGTTAGGTCTTTTGCAGTGCTCTAGGGAGAATACTGCTCGTTTGGTAGTTCTGGCAGTTTACGGAGCACTTCCTATTTATCAGGCCTTGAAAGCACTCTGTGTAGTCCTTAAAATGGATACTCCCATTAATCTCATTTTACACAATAAGTATTTAGAAGTTAATCATTTGACCTCTCAAACACAGTCATTTAAACCTATATTCTGTCCTTACTTAGCCTCTCTCTCTCACCGGTCACTTTAGTGTGGGGATAATCACTACTGTGTAGTGTTGAAAGCGTTGGGAATATATAAAAGTATCGAATGAAGTATCATATATAGTAGGTGGTCCTTCATCCACTTCCCTTTCTACACTACACTTCCCTAAACTACACTTCTCCCCTTTACTTCCTTTAAGGTATTAAATTTATTTTTATTTTTGGGTCGTTTGTGAGGCTTGAATTCAGGAGTGTGGTGCTGTCTCTGAGTTATTTTTGCTAGAGGCTACCACTCTACCACTTTGAGCCACAGCACCACTTCCAATTTTCTGATGTTAACTGAAGATAAGTCTCAGGGATTTTCCTTCTGGGTCTGGCTTTGAACCATTATCTCAGCCTGGTGAATAGCTAGGCTTACAGACATGAGCCACTAGCACCCCGTGTGAATTTATTTTTTACCACTAACATACCCAGTGTTTGAAACAGCAAAGCTTCAATATATTAAAGAGTGAAGTAATCTAACATCTGTATCTAATGTCCTGGCGTCTAAAATCTTACTTATTACCATCACCAAATAAATAGGTGTTTTTTTTTGTTGTTTTTTTGTTGGTGGTCGTGAGGCTTGAACTCTGGGCCTGGGCATTGTACCTGAGCTCTTCAGCTAAAGGCTTAGTGCTCTATCACTTTGAACCACAGCGGCACTTCCAGTTTGCTCTTGGTTAATTGGAGATGAGAGTCTTATGGACTTCCTGCCCAGGCTGGCTTTGAATTGCGATTCTCAGATCTCAGCCTCCTGAGTAGCCAGGATTATAGATGTGAGCCACCAGCACGCAGAGAGTTCTTTCTTATTTTGTTTTTCCATTTCCTGGAGTTCATTTTGATAAATATTATTTTTTATGATCAGAGACACAGAAGCATTGTCTTGTTTTGAAAACAGTGTCTCCTTATGTAGCCCAGACTGGCCTGGAAATCACAAATAGAATTCTGTTTTATGATCAAAGGGATATTTAGTTCAAACATCCCAACAGTATGGAAGTCTCCTCCATATTATGTCAGATGTTTATGCTTGGATATGTCCAGTGTTTGAGAACTCACTACCTTTCAAGACAGCTTCTTGCTATCTTTGAAGTCCGGTCCTTTTCCCTCTTGTAGTTCTAAGTCATGGGGCCATGCAGAACAAATCTAATTCCTATTCTATAGAGTCAGATCCAAGGTCTTCGTGTCCTTCCTTATGCAGACAATTTATAGGTTATCTAGCTCTGTAGTTCTCAGCTTTTTCACTACTCCTAATACATCAGAAGGACATCCATCAGTATCCCTGATACTGTAACTATGTATCCCAGTAATTATGCCTGGCTATAACAGGAATAGGGGTAGGAACTTGCCTTCCCTGACCTCACAAATGATCTGGATCTTCCTATGGCATACTGTATATAAACCTCTCCAGATGATCTCACTCTTTCCAGATATTGCCTTATGGTAGGAACTGTTGGTGCCTAAACAAGGACTTTGTCTTCTTATTAGGTATAATTGTACATCGAATATGCTGAAAGCAGTTACACTTCTGCCCTGGGGTGGTCCCAGGGGGAAGGCTGCAGGGTTGCTTCAGGGCTTCAGCATAGGTACTTCCTCAGCCTTTGAAGTTACCAGATGATACCATCAAGAGCTTTTTCAGCTCTAACACATATCCTCCATTATTCAAAAGAGTAATGAGAAACTCTGCACTGCTTCCGGCCCAGCTGCTTACACAGTGATTTCAGTTCATCCTGACAATGACCTGCATCTTAGTCTCCTCAATGTACTTAATATCTAGCTTGATGCCTGGAGTAAGTCAGCTACTTCAAGTTTTGTTTGACAAACTACCCATGATTCTATTACAAATGACTCCTTTGACTCCTGGTTCTTGAAACTCAATGTATTTTCCATGTGTTTAGTTTAAATAAATATTAATGTGCAATTAAATTTATAACACTCTGCAAATACCATTAATATTTATCCTTTATTTCAAAGCTTCCAGAACCAGGAGTGATGGCACGCACACATTCTAGCACTTGGGAGGCTGAGGCAGGAAGACAGTGAGTTTAGATCCACCCTACAAAAGAGCTTATCTAGCCAGGGCACTGGTGGCTCACGCCTGTAATCCTAGCTACTCAGGAGGCTGAGATATGAGGATCGCGGTTCAAAGCCAGCCCGGGCAGGAGAGACCTTGAGACTCCTATCTCCAATAAACCACCAGAAAACCAGAAGTGGCACTGTAGCTCAAGTGGTAGAGCACTCGTCTTGAGCTGAAGAGCTGAGGGACAGCGCCCAGGCCCAGAGTTCAAGCCCCACGACCGATCAAAAAAAAAAAGAGCTTATCTTTTTTTTTTTTTGCCAGTCCAGGGGCTTGAACTCTGCCCAAGACCTTATCTCAAAGCAAAACAAAACAAAAAATCCTTCCATAGGTTCTCATTAGTTGAAAGAAAAAGTCCCAACTGTTTTTTGTGGGTTTTGTGTTTTTGTTTTTGTTTTTTTTTTGTGCTAGTCCTAGGGCTTGAACTCAGGGGCTAGGTATTGTCCCTGGGCTTTTCTGTTCAAGCTGGGGCTCTACCACTTGAGCCATATATCCACTTCTGGCTTTTTTGGTGGTTAATTGGAATGTAGCTTAGTGGTAAAGTGCTTGCCTAGTATGCATAAGGCCCTGGGATAGATTTCTCAGTACCACATAAACAGAAAAAACTGGAAGTGGCACTGTGGCTCAAGTAGTAGAGTGCTAGCCTTGGGCAAAAACAGCTCAGAGACAGCACCTGGCCCTGAGTTCAAGTCCCATGATTGGCAAAAAAAAAGAGGGGCAAGGAAGATGGCTCAGTGGTAGAGTGCTTGCCTTGCATACATGAGACCCTGGGTTTGATTCCTCAGTACCACATAAGCAGAAGAGCTGGAAGTGTTGCTGGGGCTCAAGTAGTACAGCAGTAGCCTTGAGCCGAAGAGCTGAGGGACAGTGCCCAGGCCCAGAGTTCAGGCCCCACGACCAACAAAAAAGAGTCTCATGAACTTTCTTGCCCAGGCTGCTGGCTTCAAATAGCCATCCTCAGGTCTCAGCTTCCTAAGTAGGTTAACATTACAGGAATGAGCCACTGGCACCTAGCTTCCAATAAGATTCTTTTTGCCAGGGGCTGGGAATGTGGCTCAGTGGTAGAGTGCTTGTCTAGCATGCATGAAGACCTGGGTTTGATTCCTCAGTACCACATAAATAGAAAAGGCTGGAAGTGGTGCTGTGGCTCACGTGGTAGAGTGCTAGCCTTGAGCTGAAGAGCTCAGGAACAGCACCAGGCCCAGAGTTCAAGCCACATGACCAGGAAAAAAAATTTTTTTTGCCAGGCAAAATTTGGTCTTATCTCTCACCAACTAAAAACCCATTAATGGTTCCTGAATATTTATGATAATGCCTGAACTCCAATCTCTCATGGTAGGAGATACATTCCTGTCTCTTCAATATCAGGTCTTTTTCTTTTTTTCTTTCTTTTTTTTTTTGTCAGTGGTGGGACTTGAACTCAGGACCTATATACTATCCCTGAGATTTTTCACTCAAGGCTAGCACTTTGAGCCACAGCTCCATTTCCAGTTTTCTAGTGATTAATTGGAGATAAGAGCTCACTGATTTTACTGCTCTGTCTGGCCTCAAACCACAATCCTCAGATCTCAGCCTCCTGAGTAGCTAGGATTACAGGTGTGAGCCACCAGCATCCAGCTAATCTCAGTTCTTAAAATGTTCCTCATTGCCCAGTGCCAGTGGCTCAAGTCTGTAATCCTAGCTAAGAAGGCTAAGACCTAGAAGATTACAGTTCAAGGTCAGAATGGGCAGAAAAGACCAAGACATTCTAACTCCAAAATAACGAGCAACAATGGTAGAGCGCTTGCCTTGCATGCCAGAGGCCCTGGGTTTGATTCCTCAGCACCACATAAGAAAAAAGCCGGGGGCTGGGAAGGTGGCTCAGTGGTAGAGCGCTTGCCTTGCATGCCTGAGGCCCTGGGTTTGATTCCTCAGCACCACATAAGCAAAAAGCCGGAAGTGGCACTGTGGCTCAAGTGGTAGAGCGCTAGCCTTGAGCTGAAGAGCTGAGGGACAGTGCCCAGGCCCAGAGTTCAGGCCCCACGACTGGACTAAAAAAAAAAACAAAAAAACAAAATAATGAGCAAAAAAGCTGGATGGAAGTATGACTGAAGTGGCAAGCAAGCAAAGCCTAGCAAGCTCAAGATCCTGAGTTAAAACCCCAATACCAGAAAAGAAAAATTGTTCCTCATACTCTAATCTCTATTTACATCATTCTGGGATTTTCAGTTGGTCTTCTCTTCTAGCAAACCCCATTCAGCCATCATTTCTTCCAGGATTCCCATTTTCTAGAAGCTTCTTGGCTCCAATTACACCTGTGATGCCTCCTGTACTACACTGTAATGTCAGTCCAAATACCTGGAAGAGTGACTCTAGGGCAGAGTCTGTGTTATCCTATGCCTGATTCTGTAGTTTTTGCCATGAACCTGATATATTATGTGTGCTCCAAGATGCCAGATGAATCAATCCCAACCTGACTCACATCTTCCTAAGCCCACTAGAAGTACAGCAAACACCAGAATCAGTAATGGACATTATGAGCAAGTTTTCTTTTGATTATCATTGGAGTAATGCTAAGTTCCTGGGAAAGAAAATAATTAATTGGATATTGACTCAGTCCTCAGAGACTAACTGCTCACACATGCCTCATTTTATAGATAAGGACACTAAAGCTCTAAGGAGAGATGAAGTGGCTTGCTTAATGTCACTCATTGATCACAGACAGAGTCAGATGTTAGAATTCAAGGTGTCACAGTTGGGAGCCTATACCTTTTTTTTGGGGGAGGGGGGAGGTCTGGTCATGGGGCCTGAACTCTGGGCCTGAGCACTGTCCCTCAGCTCTTTAGCTCAAGGCTAGCGCTCTACCACTTGAGCCACAGAGCCACTTCCAGCTTTTTTCTTTTTGCATATGTGGTGCTGAGGAATCGAACCCAGGGACTCATGCATGCAAGGCAAGCACTCTACCACTGAGGCACCTTCCCAGCACCTCTTTGTTTTATTTTATTTTGAGACAGGTTCTTCCTGCTCAGGCTGACCTTGGACTCTTTTTTTTTTCTCATCAGAAAAGTCTCTAGGATTTGGCCTGGTACCGGTGGCTCACACCTGTAATCCTAACTACTCAGGAGGCTGAGATCTGAGGACTGTGGTTCAAAGCCAGTCTGGGTAGGAAAATCCATGAGACTCTTACCTCCAGTTAACCACCAGAAGTCCGGAAATGGGGCTATGGCTCAAGTGTTTGAGTGCCAGCTTTGAGCAAAAGGAGCCAAGGGACAGCACTCAGGCCCAGAGTTAAAGTCCCAGGGCTGACAAAAAAAAAAAAAAGGTCTCATGGACTTTCCTACCTGTGCTGGCTTTGAGCTGCAATTCCCAGATCTCAGCCCCCTGAGTAGCTAGGATTACAGGCAGGAGCCACTGGTGCCACATTTGACATTGGACTCTTAATCTACCCTTGGGATTCCTGCTGTACTCCATATGATGCTCCTGTAAGAACCTGTGGGTAAAAGAACAAGCAGAGCTAGTTGGGAGAGCTCCATTATTTTAGGATGACTGAGCTCAGGAAGCTTAGCTTAGTAAAAGTAAATTTAGGGGAGGAAATACTACTTATAGAAAGTGTTATGACTATCTACAAGGACAGATGTAGGACAAGATAATTTCCCATAAAAAAGGCCAACTTTGGGGCTGGGAAGGTGGCTCAGTGGTAGAGCACTTGCCTTGCATGCATGAGGCCCTGGGTTCGATTCCCTAGCACCACATAAGCAAAAAGAAAAAAAGCTGGAAGTGGTGCTGTGGCTCAAGTGGTAGAGCGCTAGCCTTGAGCTGAAGAGCTGAAGGACAGTGCCCAGGCCCAGAGTTCAGGCCCCGCGACCGGACCCTCCCCCCCAAAAAAAGGCCAACTTTCCATCAAGTAGAGCTGCCTAAAAGTACAAAACTGTCTCATACGGAAGTAGAGAGAAACAAATTTGAGAACCCTTAGAATCCCATGATAACATTTGCAGATATAATTTTAGAAACTGTATGCTGCTTTGCTTTCAGTTATCAATCATTCTGTATTAATGTGACAGCAAATCCAAATGTAAACTTAGGCATCGAAATGACACAGGACAGGTCTGAGGTGTGTGGCTTAGCCGTAAAGCCTTTGATCAGAACATGTAAGGCTTTACCTTCTATCCCTAGCACTGCCAAACTTAGTAAGTAGGTGAAGTTATCACATATATTAATATCTCAATTTCATTCTGGAGAATAGATGGATCCAACAAAATTTAAGTGAAGATTTGAACTCTTGTGATTTTTTTTTTTTTGGGGGGGGGGGGGGGTCCGGTCGTGGGGCCTGAACTCTGGGCCTGGGTGCTGTCCCTCAGCTCTTCAGATCAAGACTAGCTCTCTACCACCTGAGCCACAGCACCACTTCCGGCTTTTTTTTTCTTTTTGCTTATGTGGTGCTGAGGAATTGAACCCAGGGCCTCATGCATGCAAGGCAAGCGCTCTATCACTGAGCCACCTTCCCAGCCCCAGATTTGAACTCTTGAGAAGTCCTAAGACCAAGGGAGTAAGCATTTATCAGGTCTCTTCAAATTCCAAAACCTTTGGCTTGCATTCTGAACTTGGTCATCACAGCCACATTGCTTCCCTAGCCCAAGAAAGGCACTCCACTGATCAGTTTACATTAAAATATAAGGCAAAGTATCACAAGTAATTTAGTCTTAAGTAATTAATCTTTATTTATTTATTTATTTATTTTGGGGGGGGGTCTGGTCATGGGGCTTGTACTCTGGGCCTGGGCGCTGTCCCTCAGCTCTTCAGCTCAAGGCTAGCGCTCTACCACTTGAGCCACAGCGCCACTTCCAGCTTTTTTCTTTTTTGCTTATGTGGTGCTGAGGAATCGAACCCAGGGCCTCATGCATGCAAGGCAAATGCTCTACCACTGAGCCACCTTCCCAGCCCTTAAGTAATTAATCTTAAATAATTAAGATTTGAACTATAAAAATGGTAAGAGCCCATAGACTCTGGGACCTTCATGCCTTAGTCATATGTCATTAGTGTTCTTCAACTCCTGCATGTCTAGGTAGAAAGAAAACATAGCACTAGGGCTGGGAAGGTGGCTCAGTGGTAGAGCACTTTCCTTGCCTTGCATGCATGAGGCCCTGGGTTCAATTCCTCAGCACCACATAAACAAAAAGAAAAAAGCCGGAAGTGGCGCTGTGGCTCAAGTGGTAGAGCGCTAGCCTTGAGCTGAAGAGCTGAGGGACAGTGCCCAGGCCCAGAGTTCAGGCCCCACGACCGGACCTCCCCCCCAAAAAAAGAAAAGAAACACAGGACTAGGAAGTTAGGATACCAGATTTAAGGTCTGGTGCAGGCTCTGTGAAACTGTATATCATTAATTTGGGGGCAAATCCAATTAACTTCCAAGTTTCTTTCCTTATCTATTCCATAAAGTTATAATGAGCTCAAGGAGGTAAGATGTTCACAAAGTTAAATCTAACAGGTAAGTAAGTAATTCATGTGTCGGGGGGGGGGGGGGGGGGGGGGGGAAGAGGAGGGGAGAATGTACTAGGGCTTGAACTCAGGGCCTGGGGGCTGTCCCTGAACTTTTGTGCTCAAGGGTAAGACTCTACCACTTGAGCCATGGTTCCATTTCTAGCTTTTTGGTAGCTAATTGGGGATAAGAGTCTCACAGATTTTCCTGCCCAGATGGCTTTGAACCTGGATCCTCAGATCTCAGCCTCCTGAATAACTAGGATTACAGGTCTGAGCCACCCATGCCTGGAAGGTAAATATTTTTTTATCTCTGACCTCCCACGTCACTACAAGTCATCAATGTTTGTTTGTTGTGCTGGGGATTGGCTCGCAAATGCTAGGTAAATACCCTACTATTGAACAGCATTCTCAGTGCTAATATAGTATATGGTGAAAACACTCTTGTACTGGAGAGGTGAGTGTAGGTGGACTGCTTTTAGCTCAAGTGGGCTGCTTTAACGGCTTTCTAAAGTCAGATGGAAATGATTAGAGGTTATCTGAAGCTTTAGATTATATTTACTTTTCTACTCTCCTGCTCCTGATTATATACAGTTCACTATATTTAGCTCTAGATTTGATTTTCTTTCTCTGAGTCAGATGGGAAATGCTTCTTCCCACCATACCCTTCTTCTCATGTTGAGAGTTTCCCAAGAAGCAAAGATCATTTCCCTTTTTGGCCATGTAGCTCTCAGAAAGAGCTAATCCTTCCCTCACCACCCACCACAGCCAGCCTAAATAGGAAATCTCCAAGAATGGGAACCATGTCCTTGGGTTCTCAGGCCTTTGGTGAGATTACTCAACCACAGGCGTGAGATTTGATGAACTGAAGCTTTCAGTCAAGGCTAAATAGATTTACAATATCTCGTCTACCTTCTAATACTAACTTTTTTTTTCAGTGTCTCAATACCTGTATTAGACATTGAGAGGTAAAGAATTTAGAGGGCCTAGGAGTAGACAGATATGGATTTGTATATTGATTTTGCCACTTACTAGCTATGTGACTGTGCAATTTATCAACTTCTCTGGGCTATGTGTTTGTCTTAGTCTGTGAAAGAGGAGAAAAATAATGACACCCACATTACATCCAGGCTTGTTGTGAGGGCGATATGAGATATACTAAAAGCCTTATTTACACTTACTTACACATCAGTGCTCATTAGAGTAGTTGTGGAGGGCTTTAGTGGGGAATGAACAGGACAAGGTATGCAGAAAATCTCGGTGGAGACCATTACGTGAAGGCCAAGATGAGGAGAGCCCTTCATGCCAAGGAGTCGGGTCTCCTGGTTCAGGGTTAGTGATGCACCTTGTGCTCCCGCCTGTCAGGAGACCTCAAACTGCCAACGACTTGGAGCTACTCAGGGTCTCAAATGAGGATGATGTCTAAGAGCAAACCTGGGTCCAGGCAGCAAAGTCTCCTCCAAGAAGTTCTGGGGGAATTAAGGCTCCCAGCGGCTAGCGTCCATAGACTTCAGTCTCTCTCACTTACCTGGGAATGGTGACGGCCCGTAACGACAGCCAATAATGGCTTAACCAGGGAGTAGCAGCGGAAGCCTGAAGTCAAACCTTGGACTTTGGAGGCTCCACGTCTCAAACCCTAATCCAACATTGAACTACAACTCCCAGAATGCATCGCGGCCGCCAGCATCCAGACGGTGGTCAAACCCTGCCAACCTTGAGGCCCAGTTTCCCGTACAGCTCGGCCGAACGCCGGGGGGCTTCCGGGATTGCTGTCCACACCTCCCAGCACAGCCTCCTCTCGTGATTTCTGGGTATTGTAGTCCATATTGTTCCGGTTTCCTTGAGATAAGCTGCTTTTGGTAGCCGCTCCCTTCCTCATAGAAACTACAAAACCCAGAATACAGCGCAAATTTTCCTCGCCCAATAGGAGCCCCTCATGTAGCGGGGCGCGGAGCCTGGCTCTGGCAACTCAAGATGGCGGACGAGAGTGAGACAGCAGTGAAGCCACCGGCACCTTCGCGGCCGCAGGTGATGGAAGGGAACGGAAACGGCCATGAGCACTGCAGCGATTGCGAGAACGAGGAGGAAAACAGCTACAACCGCGGGTAACGAGATGATTGGAGTCCAGTTCCTGTCCAGTCTCCCGCAACCTGGGTCTCTGAGGGTGCGGGGAAGTCACCGGGAGCTTAGCCTAACCCCACCCCCATGTTTTTATTGGCTAAGACATTGGGATCCAATCTGGCGATTGGTTGCTGCCTTTGTCAATTTACTAGGGGTGGGTGCTTGGTATATTAAGGGCCGGAGACATTCAATACTTTTATTATATAAAAGTTCTTCTGTGTAATGTTGCACTCGTGTGCTTCAAGCGCGATCGAGGAACAGAGCATGTAACATCGAACATGGATTTCGGTGGTACAACACAGGACAATATAGTAACTACAGTTCAGAAGGAACGTTACTTGTAAAGGTGTTGTGTGAACAACGTGGCTAGTAATAAACGAATAATAAAACATTTCGCTGCAGTTTACTTTCAGTGAGGAAATTGACCAGGCCATACAACCCATATATATAATTATGTTGTAAAATATCACTACCGGAGAATTCCAAAATGTAAACTCATAAACTATAGGTCATTAACGGTATAGTATTTTAATTCATACAGTGTCTCTCCAAGTGATCTTTGTGTCTTGTACATAATTAGGTCGTGCATCTTTGCTCTGTTAACTTATTAAGTACAGGAAACTTAAAGAAATTGATTAATGATATCTCTTGGACAGTACTTTATATCTGTGGGATGACTCCCACATATGCTGTATACTTAGGGTCTACTTTGTTTCTTGAGAAGAAGGAATGCATCTGATATTTGAGTGTTGAGTTTTTTTCCAAGTCAGTTTTCACTTTTGTAAGACACTGTGTATCATTCATCTTCATATCTGGTATCTTAGTATCTGATGATTGCCCTCCATTGTGTGAGACTGTTCTGGGTTTAAAACTGCTTAACTCAAGTGGTCTGGTTTTTGTAAAAGCCATCTTGTCATTTGCAGTAACTGTTAATTCCTAAACTCTATCCAGGTAAGACCAAAGGAAAAGTGGAAGGTTGAGGTCTTTGTGTAAGCTCTTCTTTACTTTCTCTCTCTCTCTCTCTCTCTCTCTCTTTTGCCAGTCCTGGGGCTTGAACTCTGGGCCTGAGCCCTGTCCATGAGCTTCTTTTGCTCAAGGCTAGCATTCTACCACTTGAGCCACAGCACCACTTCTGGCTTTTTCCGTTTATGTGGTACTGAGGAATCGAACCCAGGGCTTCATGCTTGCTAGGTGAACACTCTACTACTAAGCCACATTCCCAGTCCCTCTTTTCTTTTCTTTTCTTTTTTTTTTTGGAGGGGGGTCCAGTTGTGGACCCTTAACTCTGGGCCTGGGCGCTGTCCCTCAGCTCTTCAGCTCAAGGCTAGCACTCTACCATTTGAGCCACAGCGCCACTTCTGGCTTTTTTCTTTTTGCTTATGTGGTGCTGAGGAATCGAACCCGGGGTCTCATGCATGCAAGACAAGCGCTCTACCGCTGAGCCACCTTCCCAGTTCCTCTTTTCTTTTTCATTCTACTGTTATAGAGATGGAGAGCAAAGGATTATTTAAATGGTTAATAGTGAATCTTAGGTTAAAAGATCTAGATTGAATTGGGGATGTGGTTCAATCAATAGTAGAGTGATTGCCTACCACGTCCAAGAGCCTGGGTTCTATCACCAATACAGCAAAAAAAAGAAAAAAAAAAGATCCAGCTTTCTTGTTCTTCAGCCAGAGAATGTGGAAGAAAAGAAAGCTTGTCGAATGTGGGGCTGGGAAGGTGGCTCAGTGGTAGAGCGCTTGCCTTGCATGCATGAGGCCCTGGGTTCAATTCCTCAGCACCACAGAAGCAGAAAAAGCCGGAAGTGGCACTGTGGCTCAAGTGGTAGAGCGCTAGCCTTGAGCTGAATAGCTGAGGACAGCACTCAGGCCCAGAGTTCAAGCCCAGGTCTGACCAAAAAATAAATAAAAAGAAGGTCTAATGTAACAAAAGCCTGTTTTGACTTTAGATATTCCTAAAAATGGAAATTCTGAGAAAGAGGAAGTAGAAACCGGAAGAAGGGAAAGGGCAACCCTCTTGAGTACAGATTGAATTATAGATAAGAGCTGTTAAATGTGAAAGTCACATTTCAGAAGTGAAAGTATGATTTTTTCTTTGCTCTTTATGAAATTCTTTTTATTTTTCTTTATTAAAATGTTGGTCTCATCAGTATGTTTCGTCCTTTAATAGGTTTTGTTGTATATAAACTGTGAATCACTTTGCAGATCTGTTTGCTGTGACCTGGGGAACAGCCCAGTGGTACAGCACGTGCTCAGTGTACTGAATTCAGATGCCAGCATGAAAGCAAACAGAAAAACCTGTTTGCCAGAAAATTCTTTGTTTGTAGTACAACAAAGTGATTCCCCCCCCCCAAAAAAAAAAAAACCAACCAAGCCTATGGGAATTTTTTTTTTTGGGGGTCCGATCATGGGGCCTGAACTCTGGGCCTGGGCGCTGTCCCTCAGCTCTTCAGCTCAAGGCTAGCGCTCTACCACTTGAGCCACAGCACCACTTCTGGCTTTTTTCTTTTTGCTTATGTGGTGCTGAGGAATCGAACCCAGGGCCTCATGCATGCAAGTCAAATGCTCTACCACTGAGCCACCATCCCAGCCCTGGGGAATTTTTTTTTTTAGGACAGGGAATTGTTATTCATAGTTATGGTGAAACAGATTAATTTTTTTTTTTTTTTTTGGTTGTTGAACTCAGGGCTTTGCCACTGTCTCTGAGTTCTTTTGCTCAAGGATAGTGCTCTACCACTTTGAGCCACAGCTTCACTTCCATTTTTTAGGTTTTTAATTGGAAATAAGAGTCTCATGGCCTTTCCTGCCCAGGTTGGCTTCCAACCATAATCCTCACTACCAGCTCCTGGCTCCAAATTACTTTTATTAGTATCCCAAATCTAGACATCTGTGAAAAATAAATTTGGAAGTGACAAATGAAAGAGAGCTCAGTCAAAGGGAGGGAGTCTATTTCTGGCACTTAGGATTTGGGGTAAAGCTTTTTCTATTAACTTTCAGGGGCAAGTGTTTTGGGAAAAGGCAGCATGGACAGTGGGAAAGTATGGACTTTCAGACCTGGTTTCATAGCCTGGTTCTTAGGCAAGTTACTCAGGCTAGAGTTGTGACATGGAATGAGAAACATCTGAAATACAGCCTTCCCTTCTCCTGTTCTTTCTTCAAATCCTTCCTAACGTCCCCAATTTGCCCTCTACTCTTATTGCATACTGTATTCCTAGTAGCTTTTGTTGTAATAATATTTAAATAACATGTTGATTTTGTTTAATATATTCAATCCTTGCTGCCCTGACTAGAAGGTACATGAGAACAGAGACTGTGCCCCTGAGATGCTTGGAGTTTAGTGGGAATTAACAAACATTTGTGGGACAAAGGAATGGTAACTGTTAAAGTGCTTGGCTTTATGTTAGCAGAGTTTCATTTCTTCTTGGTTTTTTTTTTTTTTTTTAATTGTCTGTCTTGAGACTTGGGCATTGTCCCTGAGTTCTTTTGCTCAAGGCTAGTGCTCTACCACTTTGAGCCACACCACCACTTTTGGTTTTCTGGTGGTTAATTGGATAAAAGTTTCACGTAGCCAGGCACCGGTGGCTAATGCCTGTAATCCTAGCTACTCTGGAGGCTGAGATCTCAGGATCACGGTTCCAAGCCAGCCTCGGCAAGGAAAGTCTGTTAGACTCTTATCTCCAATTAACCACCAGAAAACCGGAAATGGTGCTGTGGCTCAAGTGGTAGAGTGCTCTCCTTGAGCTGAAGAGTTCAGGGACAGCACCCAGGCCTAGAGTTCAAGTCCTACAACCGACAGAAAAAAAAAGGTCTCGTGGACTTTCCTGCCTGGGCTGGCTTTGAACCTCAATCCTCAGATCTCAGCCTCTTTTTTTTTTGGTCAGTAGTGGGGCCTGAACTCTGAGCCTGGGCACTGATCCTTAGCTCTTCAGCTCAAGGCTAGAACTCTACCACTTGAGCCACAGGCACCACTTCTGGCATTTTCTGCTTATGTGGTCCTGAGGAATCAAACCCAGGGCCTCAGCCTCTTGAGTGGCTAGGATTACAGGCAGTAGCCACTAGCATCCAGCTTTAGATTTTTTTTTCCTTCCTTTTTTTGCCAGTCCAGGGGCTTGAACTCAGATCCTGGGCACTATCACTGAACCCCTTTGTGCTCAAGGCTAGCTAACACTCTACCACTTGAGCCACAGCACCACTTCCAGCTTTTTCTGAGTAGTTTATTAGAGATAGGAGTCTCATGGACTTTCCTGCCCAAGTTGGCTTTGAACTGTGGTCCTCAGATTTCAGCCACCTGAGTAGCTAGGATTACAGATGTGAGCCACTTGTGCTTAGCTTTAGATTTTTCTTATATAGATATTTTTTACAGTATTCTAAGTTTTGCTACCATTTTGTGAATTGCATATAGAAATCAGGCAATCTTCAGTTTATTGTGGAAGTTTTTCACTTCTTAAAATCCTTCCTTCCATATGTCTCCATCTCTGCCTCCATCTGGCTCTCTATTTCCTTGTTTTTTGTCAGTCATAGAGCTTGAACTCTGGGCTTGGGTGCTGTTCCTTAACTCTTTAGCTCAAGGCGAGCGCTCTACCTCTTGAGCTACAGTGCTACTTCCCGTTTTCTAGTGGTTTATTGGAGATAAGAGTCTCATGGACTTTCCTACCCTGGTTGGCTTTGAACCGTGAGCCTCAGATCTCAGCCTCTTGAGTAGCTAGGATTACAAGCGTGAGCAACCGGCGCCTGGTTGGCTCTCTCTTGAACCCAGGATCTGTTTGCCTTTTTCACTGAAGGCTGACACTCTACCACTTGAGTCACATCTGTAGTTCCTTGAAATGTTTCTTCTTTTAAATACTTACAGTTTTTTCAAAAGTCATGTTGGAGCTGAAAGTAGTGACACATGCTTAGGATACAGCCATCTAGGGGGACAGGCTGGGGAGGGGGGGCGGGGGGGGGCAAGTCGGGAATGGAAAGGGAAATCCAGGTACTGTGTACTG